TGGAGCTGCAGTGAACAGCCAGATTTATCTAAAAGGAGCAAAAATGATTTTCTGGTTTTCCACTCTGCAGCACCCATTTTATTTCATGCTAAGGCAAATAAATGCATCTACTGCTGTCTTACTTCTTCCAGTATAACATATAGCAGGTTAAAGTCACAGTTCAGATCTCAGCAGGTTTCAGATTCAAATACTCATTATGTATCAGGAGGTCAGTGTTCTAGCAGAGAAACACAAAAGTAATCTTCAAGAAGCATGAAATTTCTTATGTTTAGAAACTCTTTGTAAAGGTCAGGGACTTTTAGCTTTTAAAACGGCAACCTGCAATTTAGAATTATACCAAAGTCCAAATGGATTAGAAAACAAAACAAAACACCTGAACCCCCAAACCAACAAACAAGTAGGCAGTTCAGCTGAGGAAACTTCTATGCATATCCTGTTATTATATTGAAATTAGGAGAAGCAAGTAGCTCTGTGAGCTGCCAAGCTAATGAAGCATGATTTCCAACATCTCTCTCCCATGAGGATTTTCCAAAATCAAATAAAACTGTAAGCTTCCTTAACTTCCTTCTTGTGGGTTTTAACTGGCCTTTTCCCCTCAGCATGGCATAAATTTTCATAGAATGTGTAATTTCTAATACTTTTGAGATTTCTCCTTCTCTGTTAAAGACATTTGAAATGTGTCTGCTTGTTCAAAATCATTGGGTGTAGGGAGGGAAGGGAGACAAAACCCCACAGCATAACTCATTTAGGTCTCATCTCCTTCCGAGACTGAGCAGAAACACTATAAAACTGCCTTTAGCTTTCACCTTGCATTGGTTTGTACCAGTGGTGCACTGTCCTGCGATCTTGGACTACAGCCCCAACGGTCTGCCTGTGCAACACACTCTGCTCTGCTTGAGCAGCAGCTCCCTGGAAAGTGAAATGTGGATTATGAACACAGCCAGGCACCAGTGAAAACATGCTTTCCATGCTCATGCATAAACCTCATCAAAGTGCTTCTGATAACCAAATGCTAAAGAAAAGATAGGTTACCATGCACGGCCAGGCCTCTCTACACAAATCACATTTATAAACCAACATTTACATAAAGATCTTCCTGAAGAAATCCCCTTACAGCTATGATTTTTGAAAGTGAATAGTGACCCCAGGGATATAAAGGGTCTAAGTGAATAATCACACTGTCTGGAAACCAAGCAACCAAAAAAGCCCAACACTTACAGTGACAAGACATTTCTGAATTATTTTTTTTTTGTTTCAAGACCCCTTACAGTTCGTTTCTACTCATTCTAAGTAAAGGTTTCACAGGGATAATTTGGACACTATTTCAAACACAGTAGCCTATGACAGCAAGACATTTCTTGTCTATTTCCATTATTTGTAATTTCTGAACTACTCGAGGTTAAAATATCTTTTTTTTTTTTTTTCCGAGAAAGGGCAGCAGCTCCTATCAGTGAGTGGTCCAGAAGGAAGAGAGGGTGAAGCAGAATTTTCACATGTATTTTTATAGTGTTTAAAACTGTGCTTTCAACAATACTCATCTGGCATTTCTGTCCCCTTCAACACAAGTATGGAATTAATAGGAAAGTTCACAAACGAGCTCTCAGCTGCTGGAGAGTCTCTGAAGGTGCAGAGAATGGGAGAAGATTGTGAGGTGGCCTTTGCAAATTCATGCAGCATCAGGACACAACAAAGGTCTGAACCCGAGGAAGGCTTTGAATGTTCATGCTGTAAGTCTAAAGCTTCCTATGGAAACTGAACATACAGAAGCCAAAGAAAGTCTTTCCATTGACTTTAAAAAGCTTGGAACCCAATGTAAAAGAAAGTTAAGGTACATACAGACGTACTGTTTCACAGGAAAAATACAAGTCTTTTTAATATTACAGATTTGTTCTTCAGCTGCCTGTACCTGAATTTTGCTGTCTATGCCTGAATTTTCTGCTCTGATATATACCCATGCACCAATCTCCTAGAGCCTTTGTTCATGCAATACTCCAATTGAATCAATGGAAATTTTTAAACAAATAAAATGACTGGATTTGGCATTCAACAACAAAGATTTTTTGAAGACAACCCATCTCAGCAACCTGTTTCAGCCAGATGTCTCCAGTTCAAGTAAGAAATTTAAGATTAAATCAGAAGTCCAACTTCTAGTTTGACTTTCATTCTCGTTTGATCATACTTAAGTCATTCAAGCTTCCTGAGCTGTGAATCAGGAAAAGATTTAAGCCTTCTTGCCCTGCTTCCTATCCCCAGCTTTCACACGCACACTACTATACATGTTAAAATTATTACCATTCTTCTCTATCTGCGTCACAGTTGCAAAAATATCTCATATCCAGACAACTTTCTTCCAGTCCACATGCACACTGTTGAATGCCTGGAAGAGATCCTCCCCAGTAAAGATGCTTTTCATTGGCACGGCCAACCCACCAAGCAAATGGCATTCCATCTGGATGAAAGGGGAAGCGGGGGGTGGGGTAGGGGGGAGAGAAAGAGAAAAAGAGAGAGAAAGAGAACTTGATAAGCAAATCGTATTCTCCTGAGAACGAAAAAGAGAATGGAAGTGGACATGTTAAATAATACTGAAAGAAAAGATGCGAACTACAGACAAAGTAACAAACCATAAACTTTGCCCAAGTTCCATTTCACAGAACACACATTGAGAAAGCAACAGCTTTAAGGCAATCTCGTTTGGTTTGAGGAGCAGATGTTTTCCCCATAGGGCTCATCTGCCAATCACCCACGAGAACCTCAGTACATCTCATCTGCAAAGACCCAACACCACTGTCTGCACCAGCTGTGTCTACTGTTTTTGTGTGACACTAGAGGGGAGATCTGATCACTGAAGGAGCCTGAAAACAATTCTCCTGCCATGACTGACACTGCACAGCTGTCTTGAACGACCCAGTATTGGCCAAGGACCTCTTACAGAGGTCTACTTGTTAGAAAGAGACTCTAGCTCTTAGATCAGGATTTTTAAACTTAAGACTCATATATAAGAGCAAAAATATTCAGAAATAGCACACACACTGACCTATTACTATGGGCTTAATACAGCTCCTCTCAAAACTAATACCAAAATTTGTATCGGTTTCTAAGAGAGCAGGACTAGGGATTTTAATGCACTCTCCAAGGGTGGAATTTGTAAATGCAAAGCTCCATAAGATATTAAAACATCCTAGATTAAAGATTCAGGTAGAACATAAGTGGGGAAAAAGATATCCCTACTCGGGAATTAATCTGTCTCTGTGAAGTTGTTTTCTATCTACAGGAGTTCTAAGATCTATGTATTTATATAAACCAAGATAGTTTTTGTTTAAATTTTATAATCCGTTATACATCAAGCATTAAATATTAATAGTCAGATACAGTAAGAAGATTCAGACATAATGAAATCCACGGATTAACATTTTGCTAAGATGGACTTTGTCTTCCAGCTCAGATAACTTTTTCATTGACTTCTTAATCCTTAAATCAAGAAATGTAATCAGTTATACATACAGGTAGATGGCAAAATTTAGCAAAATTGACATATTAAGACTTTTTGATCAAAGGAGCTTAGAAAAATAAACCGCACTGCTAATGCAGAAAAATGTTCCAATTTATTCTTCTGCTTTACTAACATTATTAGTAGGGAGTATTCCTAATTATACAAAGCAAGAAAGTCTAAAATACGAAATGCAATCAAGGTTAACTGTAGAGTGTAAGGGGCTAATTAAAATGAGTTTTAGAATCACTTGGCAAAATTAATTCATATTTGTTTTCCTTCTAAGCTTAGACTACTGAACTGTAAATTCATGAAAAATAGAAAAATAAAACTAGGAAGAGTAACTCCATTCTCATGATACCAACAATTAAGACATGACGAGTTTGACCAATACCCAGCGGTACTCATTAGAAAAACACAATTCAAGAACATCTAAGGATTGACCTTAGAAAAATGTGCACACTCGTTTTAGGTCTCATATTACCGTCAACACTTTATACTTTCTTTCTTTTCAGCTGATTTTCTTGCAGAAGTTGATTGCTGCAGCCAGTGAAACAGGTCTATACTACATTATCGGGAAATTACTTGGTAAAGCTTGGAATAGTAATGTTAATTGAATAAAAGGGTGATTTGTCTAGGAGTTGAAATAGATATTACACAGAAGTGCTTAATCTAATTTTAGAAGTGCCCATTCTGGAAAAAATATTTAGATAAAGATAAATCCTTCAGGTCATCAGCAAATAATGGTATCATTAATCAAATTCAACCTGTGTCAGATTCTTTTGGTAGAAATTATTATATACTTAAACATAACAGTCAAATAAGAAATCATTCATAAGAATTAAGAACGAGTAGTTTTCTGATGTCTTTTTCAGATCTGTTGTTATTTGTTTCATTGAGCAATACCAAGCAAACACACACACATTCAGATTTATGATATAGACTGGGGAAGTGGTAGAAACGCCACAGCTCAAGTCATTTACAACTAAATTAAATACAGTGCTTAAAACCCAGAGCATTCAACATTATAAGGAACAATATTAGATCGTCAGGGGAATAGACTATAAAAAACCTGTCTTTTCAAAAATTTTATTTATTAGGCAGAGTTCTGCCACCCTTTACTTAAGACGAGTAAATTTTTCTCCCTAACTAGTCCCTTAGAAATCAATTGTAGTATTAAGGAAAATTATGTCCTGATTCTTCAAAACTCTTTTCCACGTGCTTAATTTTTAACAGACGAGAACTCACAGAGCTATTCAGTAAAGCTCTTAAATCTAAGGTACATCACCAATGTCCAAAGTGTTTAGGAATTACTGAAACATATATTGTATATCATATACCTGTAATGCTGAAGTAATGCAATATTTCACTAGCAATGCAAATCAATCCATCCCTCAGCTCTTTCCAGAAAGTTTACACTGTTATACCTTGGCAGACACACAAGGTGCCTTGCATTGAGATGGAATTTTGCCAACAGGTGTTGATTAACATTCTTTCTTCTAAGCCTGTAGATTTGTTGCAATATATTCACTCCTGTAATCATGATATTACCATTTTTTCAAAGCATTTTGATTTCTCCACCACCTCAAAATGGATTAATTTCCCTTCTGTGGTGAAGTCACAGACAAAGTCAATGACATTAATCAAGGAGTTTTATGCGGTTATGGCTGCATAAATTAATGGTTACATAGGTCAGTGGAATACCACTTTAAAATTTGTAAGCTAAAAAGTCTATTTAATAAGAAGTGCTACTAATTCTTCATTCTGTGCTTACATTGTACCTAGTAATGCATTGTTTAGTCAAAAAAGGCAGTCAAAAGCCTACTGAGCAAAGTATTATTTTCCATGCATTTTTGTCTATTTAGAACTGAAAATAAATCTGTTACGATAAATCTATTAAGGTTGTCTTTGAACTCTATATTACGGTTCTGAAGGAGAACATGTGTGAAAAAAATCCCAAACTAAGCAAAACAAACAAGCTTCAAGTGACTGAATTCACCAGTAAAAGAACAGAGACCAAGTGATTTCTTTCAAATGATTTCTTCCTGTACTGTTCAAGCTGCCTTTGGAAGGTTTTACTTTTGATAAAAAAATCCTCCAAAAAGGTAATTTTTTTTTTTATTTTTTGCAGGGAACAATAACCTTCCTGTGATAATTCTGCCTGGAAGCCTGTACAAACAGCTGTGATATTTGCATCACTGTTTTTACCATAATTTAGCACGGTATTGAACAAAAGAACTGAGCAGGCAGACAGTATTCCGTATCAAACCAAGTACTGCTGCTCGTTCACACTGCCAGGCACAGGTTGTAGAAAGTAAGGTTGGCAAAGGTCTTCTGAAAGGGGTCTCATCTTCAGTTGATCATCTTGATTGTTCCCTCTACCTGTCTCCATAGACTGGTCCTTTGATCTATTCAACAGCTACTGTGCATATGTACCTGATTAGCCACGTAAGACTTTGGAAACCCTGGCATGTACAGTATAGAAACACACGGACAAGAACTCGGTTTTTCTCCATCCAGCAAGGCACAGAGAGTAAGCTCCTTTCAGATGTCAGCTCTTCAGCAGATCTCCAGTACCTGCTCTATCACTGCGCTTAACTGAGCTGTTCATTGTCAGTTCTCTGTGCGAAATCTGTTTCAGCAGAAGCAAGGCTGGCACAGACTGTACAGTTCACAAGCACAGAGGCTGGGGACTATGAAGAGACACACGGAGGTTGTTTCCAGTGATCCTTAGGAGGAGATGCAGATTGAGATCAAATCCACCTGCAATGCGTATCTGGCTCTTCTAGTGACAAGAACGGCTGAACATGTATTTGGTGTCCCTCTACCAGCTTACAAGAAAATGCCTGTCCTCTTAAATCTCCCTTGTAATGACAGTTCTCTCATTTTCTGTATTAGAAAGCAATGACATTGCTAGCAACACAAGTTATTTGTAAAGGTTTTAGGCTTGCTCATGTTTTAAATGGTAGAGGATTTTTTCAAAAATTATTCGTATAGGCACTCAGAAGCTGGAGGAGGGGGAGAAGCAGCATATTCCAACAGTATGTAAGACTAAATTACTGTGTATATAAATCCCAAGCAACTTCTGTGCTCTGAGTTTACGTTTATATAGGCAGAAAATCTTAGCATTCGATCAGCATGAGTTAAAACAAAGCCATACATTTTTAACAGTATTGTATTTAAAATATTTCTCAGTATTTGTCTGCATCATTTGCCAGGTAGTTCTTGTTACTGCAACAAAGAAAGATCTAATGAAAGAAATATAACGAGATAAACTGGATCCCTTGTTAATATCCTGTGCTATATAAACCTAAAATCTGACCCAGTAATTACATACTCCTAACACAGGCAAGGCTTTTGGGGTACTCGAGTTATTGAAACAGGTCAGCTAAAGGTCTTTTCCACCACCACAGCAAGTCAATTTATTTGTATCTGTCGAAACACTGAAACCATATTGCATAGAAACAACATTCTCTTGGTAGTCATGTTCAGCTTTTTCTCCCAAGTCCAACAGAGTTAAGCAGAACTGAATTTGTTACATCTTATATCTATACATATTGCTGATGAAAACATAGATTAATTTACATTGATGCTGTTTTCTCTTAAAAGGAAGGAATTATATCAAAAAATAGTGAAAACTAGGAAAATATTGATTGTAGAATTGCATAAACCAATCAAAGCTAATTCTTTGCTACTGCACTCAAAACCATAAAATATGTTTGCACTAACCACTTCAACAATAATAAATCCTGCAAATAGCTCACCTGATGCACTGAACATTATATGAAACAAGTGGTTAGCAGATTCTTTTTATACATGTGTCTGTATATACACACACGTATGTATAAGAAACAATTTCAATCTGAATAACTGAATCCAGAGGCCAATCCAGAGTACAAATTATAATCTCAGCTAATCCATTTTTAAAAGGCTCTTGAAAGAAAGAGTAAGAGAGTGAGAAC